AATAAGGCTGAGTATGTCCACAGTCAGCCAAACTTTTCTTTATTTTGCTTCTATATTCAGTACAACTCTACTCTATTTATTTCTTTCTATAAAAATGGGGGCCATACTACTCTATGATCAACTTTTATGCATGCGTCGCGTTAGGCAATTTTTATGCATGCCAAGTCGCACTATGTAATTTTTATGCAATTAGAAGCAAGCTGCTAAAAAGCATTCGTCACAATGATTTTTAAGGAAAAAAAAAAAAAAAAAAAAAACACGAGTTATGGCCTATGCTTAAAACTTTCCATCCCACATCGACAAAAAAGTATGTGCTACATTCTGTTATATATGGGAATATTCAAATAGTTAATTACGGTGTAAGGAGGGCCCACTGGTATTTAAGGCTGTCAAGCTCGATACCAGAGGCATTCCTTACACCGACCTTTTTGACAAAATTTAGTCTATATCCCACATCGGATAGAAATAGAAAAGAAATGCGGTTCATATATGCGTGGTCTACAACATTTGGTTGCCAAGAAGGGAGTATCAGTGGAGGAGGAAAGTCTCCAAAGTCAACAAATAGGAAACTTTACAGCCACTGTTACTCGCTTTCTTGGCCTCTTATCATTTTTGAATCCTCGGCCTCATGATAAGTTGTTTGAGAAAAAATATAAACAAACTTCCCCTCAGGCTCAGCGCCGGGGAGTAGTTCATTCGCCTCGGACCTTGAGTGTCCGGCTCGGCAAAACCTCCCCTCTGGCTCAGCGCCGGGGAGCAATTCATTTAAACCTCCCCTCAGGCTCAGCGTCGTGGAGTAGTTCATTCGCCTCGGACCTTGAGTGTCCGGCTCGGCAAAACCTCCCCTCTGGCTCAGCGCTGGGGACTAATTCATTTAAACCTCCCCTTAGGCTTAGCGCCGGGGAGTAGGTCATTCGCCTCGGACCCTAGGTGTCTGGCTCCGCAAAAATCTCGCTTCGGACCCTAAGTGTTCGGCTCGGCAAAAATCTCGCCTCGGACCTTAAGTGTTCGGCTCGGTAAAACCTCCCCTTTGGCTCAGCGCAGGGGAGTAATTCATTTAAACCTCCCCTCAAGCTCAGCGCCGGGGAGTAGGTCATTCGCCTCGGACCCTAGGTGTCTGGCTCCGTAAAAATCTCGCCTCGGACCCTAAGTGTCCGGCTCGGCAAAACCTCCCCTCCGGCTCCGCGCCAGGGAGTGTTTAATTCGCCTCGGATCCTAAGTGTCCGAGACAGCTTCGGACCCTAAGTGTCCTATTCAGCAATATTCCTCCACACTCGGTGCCGAGGAATAATTCGCTTCAGACCTCTGGTGCCCGGATCAGAACTCTTTCCTCCGGACTCCAAGTGTTTAATACCCTGTGGATGTGGATATATCATAAGTTCATCATGATCCACCCCACATCAGGAACACACGAGAAGGAAAGAGTATGTATACGTTTACTGCAGGCAAGTCAAAGGCAAGGAGAGTTCACTTAACAGTTAAATCATTGTCCATATGAATCATCCTGAGATATCAACTAAACTGTTAAAAGGATCTCCTTCTTCCCACTATCCTTGCTTTTTCTCGGATAGCATAAATCCGAAGCATAAAGACAATGTGTTTTGTTTGTCATAAAAACATTACCAGTCAGAAAAATATGAACAGTATCGAAAGCATACAGCAAAAACAAATCAGGTATTGAAAGCCTAAAACAAAAAATTATATTCATTATCCCAAACATACTGTCAATAAAAACAAAATACATGGTTCTACTTCCTCTTCGGATCGAAGGGAGTAGATTCAAAAGCATCCACTACAGTAGGACTTGGGGTAGGAGGAATTGAAGCCGCAGGGGCAGAAGAGCTAGGAGTACCCTTCAGGTGCGCCTTCACCATCTCGGCAAAGCGGATTTCAGCTTCCAAAGCCTCTGGCCCTTCATCATATGGGAAGTGCACCCCCACCTGCTTGTCAAAAGCGTCCGGATCCATCGTCCTAGGGCCTGAGCCCTGATTATAGCCAGACCGGAACGCTTTAGCACTAGCCAGGTGTGCCAGACAGGAGTAGCGCCCCTGCATTTGCTTCCCCGCCTTGAAGCAAGTAGTAAGAGCCTCGGTCAGGCGTTGAACTTCGGCCTGAAGAGAATCCACCTTAGCCTCAGAGGCAGCCAACTGCCTCTTATACGCATCCTTGGCTTCAGAAGCTATTTTCAGATTGGTAGAGGCAGTGGTGGCTCTCTTCTCTGCATTGTCAAGATCCTTTTCCAGCTTCTTGATGGAGAGGGATTGGGCTTCAGCAGTGGCGCAGAGGGCCATGGTGTGGTATAGACTCTGTATAACAGAGGAACAAATATGAGCATAAATGGAAACATAAGCAAGCAAGAGTAACATAATTCTGAAGGAGCAATGCGAACCTCTATGGCCCGAACCGGGGCAGAGGGGAGTAGTTGTTCCAACCCCATTTGGCTGATGGCTTCCTCGTCCTTTGGGAGCCACATCCCTCGAGCCACCGCCAGTGCAGCTGAAGGGTCTGTGATCACAGAATCCCTTGAGTGCAGGACTGACTTGTCAGCCCTGGTGAAGGAAGGAGTCCAAGGAGCCCCAGTCTCAGCCAGAACAAATGCCCTGACTTCATCTTCAGGTTCGGCCTCTCCAGCCTTTTTCCCTCTGCTTTTAGAAGGGACTTTGCCCTTGCCAGAGGATGGGGGGTTGAGGCGAGATTTCTTCATTGGTGGTTCCTCAGCCTCCACCTCACCCTCAGTAGATCTAATAACGACCAAGGGTTGGGCATCTTCGGTTTTCTTTTTTAAAGCCTCAGCCCTCCGTATCTCCTCCTCAGTCATAGGGAAACTGTCAAAAGATGGTAGAGACAGATCCATGAGGTCTGCACCAACAGCACTGGAGGCAATATCCTTGAGGTTTGAAGAAGTTAGCAGGTCCTCGATAGGCGAGGGGTCACTCCAGACTCGTTCCTCAAGAAAAGAAAATCTGTTCCTTGCTGCGGAGGATGGGAATGTAGCTGAAAAAACACCAAGAAACTCATAAGTACGGCGAAACATTAAGACTTGGCAAGGAAAACAGCCAGAACACTTGGTATGAAGGGAGGTTAAGTATTCTATACCTAATTTCCCGAACTTACGCGGGATGGGGAGCGTAATTGATTGGGGCACGAACCATTTTCCTTTAACTATAACCATCCTTTCTTTCCACTTCTTTTCGGATGAAGGAAGGTTCGTGCATATCCTCTGATGAAGGGGAGAGGTAAAAAAGAAGCGACCAGGCTCGGTCCCATGCTTAGATATATTGTAAGTAAGCAGAAGGTCGGCAAAAGTCAAATCCAGAGCCTCTAATTTCCGGCGCACCAACAGTGCCGAAAGGATGCGAAAGAAATTAGGATTTACCTGAAGGGGGGCAAGACCTAACTTGTTGAAAACTAAATGATAGAAGGGATGAAGAGGGAACCGGAGGGCGTTAAGATGCCCTACCGAAAGAAGCAATTCACTTTCTTCAATTCCCTCGCCGGAGGTAAAATCGGCACCCTCGGGATATTCTGCAATTTCTACTCCCTCAGGAATATCAAATTCTTCCATTACCGAAGCAATAGAGAACTTGATGCGGTGAATAGAGATGATTGCTTTCCTCTCTTCATGAGTAAGAACATTATCAGAGCCTGAGGTGGATGTCTTGGCTGGAAGGGGGGAAGTACCTAATTGATTCAACGAAAGACGATCTGTAGAAACCCTGGGAGGGGGAGCCCTAATGCGAACGGGGGAAGTTGAAGGTGTGGATTCAGAATCCCCAATGTCTATACATTCGGGAGTAGATGAAGTACTCATAATGAAAGATTGAAGAGAAAGATGCGAAAAAAAACTAACCTGACAAGGCGATGGAATGAAGAACGCAGGAGTGCAGCAAGGGCGAATGTAACTCTTGCAGAATCTTGTATGACGGAGTAATAATGAAAGACCTCGAACCGTTTCTGAAGCAAAGTAAAAAACCGGTTTCAATTCCCTCTTTAATGGGAGCCGTCACTCAATTAAAAATGAAATTTGGGGCAAAGTGTGGAGGGAAAAAAACTCCCTCCAATAAAAAGCGCACACGTCATCACTACACATATCTACACTCCAAGGACATATAAGGCCCATCATGCTCAAGCCCAAATTGAGGGTATTTTTAGCCCAAGACCATTGTTATTTGTCCTCCAGCCTCCATCAAGGCCGAATCAAGAGGTCATCGGCCCAACTTGTTAATATTTAACATCCGGTCCGTTATTCAAGCCCAGCCAGATCAAAGTATGTTCAGCCCAGTTATTCAAGAATGCACAAGTCCTATCAGTTGAAGGATTTACCGTAGAAGGAAAATTCTGAGATAGGAAGTTCTGTACAAGGCAAGTTCTATGTATGGAAAATTAGACAACGGAAAGAACTCTATTAGTAAAGAATGTTTATATAGAAAGAATTGGAGAGCAAGCAACGCTATCTTTTTACAATCTTTACAATCTATTAGTAAAGAATTGGAGAGCAAGAATTGGAGAGCAAGCAACTCTATTAGTAAAGAATTGGAGTCCTACCATAATTTTACAATCTTTTGTATATAAATAGAGGCTTAGACCTCCAATAAAGGGATTAAGCAATTCTACGCTTCGAGATATATTGTTCTTGTTTATTTTTATTATTGATTGAGTGAGTTGTTTTATTTTTCTTAATCATTATTGGTTGAGCGAAATTTTGCACTTACAATAGAGTAGAAGAGAATTTTAAGTTTGTTATACATATGAGTCAACCCACATAAGATACTGGTACTGTAGCATAAGATAAACACCACATCTTATCAGTTATCACATAATAGCTATAATAGTTAGGAACTTGGGACAATTGCAACCTAAGTGCATTTGACTTGCACTAATATGTTTCAAAATGATCTGGATTTTAATATAGGAAGAGTAGCTGATAAATTACTGCTTATTCATATGGTTTGCGTATGAAAGGTCATTTCTCAACATTCATATCCTTGTTATTTTTGTAGGTGAAGGTTTACAACGGCCGAAAAGCACTAGCACATGCTTTAAGTGATACAAAAACAGCCGTAAAACAATTGAACAAAGTTATCTCAGGGATCCTTACTGTTGTGATGGTTATTGTGTGGCTTCTTTTGACAGAAATTGCAAATACCAAAATACTCCTGCTCCTCTCATCACAGTTTGTGGCGGCAGCTTTTATGTTTGGAAGCACTTGCAAGACTATATTCGAATCTATTATATTTGTATTTGTGATGCATCCATTTGATGTTGGTGATCGTTGTGTCATTGAGGGTGTTCAGGTAACTACTGCAGGTTACATTTTATTTGGTTGTTTAAGAATTACTTTATTAATTACCAAAAAAAGTATACATATATATATATATATATAGTATCTTTATATAACATATTGTTATTTGACAGATGATAGTTGAGGAGATGAATATCTTGACCACAGTCTTCTTGAGATATGATAACGAAAAAATATACTATCCAAATTCAGTTTTGGCGACCAAACCTATCAGCAATTTCTACAGAAGCCCAGATATGGGTGATAATGTAGAGTTCTCTATTGATTTTATGACACCACTGGAGAAGATCGGGGCTCTCAAAGAAAAAATAAAGAAGTAAGTTGAGTTCAGCATTATTCTTCATCTTTTTTACTTGGTGGTATAATTACAAGGAACTCATTATTTTGATTGCTTCAAGATAAAAAGCTTTGTATTTCTGGCCTGTGTGTTAAGAATATGGAAGCTTCAACTTGTGTTGGAATTCTCCTGGACATTTATGATACATCTGTACATGTATAAGGTATTATAGTTCACCTATATATTAAGAATTTTGATAGCACAAATATTTGTTTTACAGATCTAAGTAATAATAAAAAGAAACTTAATCAACATATAATAGATATTCAAACAAATATATTATTTAACAATAAAGAATTTCTATCAATCAACACATAAAAGAAACTCAGTCAACATATAATAGAAATTCAATCAAAGATGTATTTAACAATAAAGAGTTTCTATCAATCAACACATAAAACATGCAATTTAAATATTCTATTGAAGGAGAATACAATGACCCCATGGTGATATGTAGACTTTCATCATGACCCCTACATGGGCGAATTATATCATAGGTTTTGCTACAGATTCAGAGAATTTCCTTCAACGGCCTTTGTTTGGATTGCTACTGTGCAATAGTGCCGTGAGTCCAGGTGAATTTGGGGTGTACCAAAGGGGGGCTCAAGATGTTATTCACTATTAAATGTTTTGTTCCTTTCTTTCCTTTCCTCCTATATGCATCCTTGCTAAAAATTCTTGTGTTTTCAAGTGCTACTTTTAAGATTTAAAAGTGATTCTTTTTGTCAAGTCAAATTATATAAAAAGGTGCCAATGGGGGGCACAAGATATTAGAACACTGATTGCCCCAAAAGTTCTAGCTATTAGTGAATTGGTCCAACAATGTAATATACCCTTCATCGCTTACAATTTTGTTGTGTATGTAGCGAGACAAACAGATCAAAACCAACAAAGTGCAAGTACCAAACCAGAGAACAAATGTAAAGATAGAAACTTGAACCCAAGACCTCCCAGAATTAGAGTCCTGATAGCATTGTAGACTCTCCATTGCTACAAAAACATAAGCTTTTAAGGAATGAGCCCAACAATGTATATCAAGCTCTCTAAAACCCTTCCTCACGTGTCACCGGCCTTGCACGTGGCCTACCAAACTGAACAGAGTGTAAATATGTATTTGAATTTGTTAGACCAAGGCTTTTTTCAATTGCATTGAGTTGAGTTCGAATGTCCACGTGAGTTTTGTTGAAAATTTCAATTGCATTGCTTCTGTTCACATCGTCCATGGGAGTTATGTAGAAATTCTCAACTTACTTTGATTAATTACCCTCTAGATTGGTGTATTTGCTACTGTTAGTCTTGTTGTTTTTTCATTCTTTTATATCGTCAGGTATTTGGAGAAAAATCCGCAACACTGGCATCCTAACCACAGTGTGGTGGTTAAGGAGATTGAGAATGTGAACAAGATAAAGATGGTCATCTTTTTTAATCATACAATGAACTTTCAAGAATTTGGGGAGAAGAACAATCGAAGATCTGAATTCGTCTTAGAGTTGAAGAAAATCTTCGAAGAGCTGGGTATCAAATATAATCTCCTGCCTCAGGAAGTTCATCTTGTTGAGTCATCAACCCCAGCTGGTTCCACCAGATGATTATTGCCGGAGGTTCAATTCATCACTTTGATTGCTAGTATGTGCTCTTTCTTCCTAACTCATATAACATGATGAAATAACCTGTCTGACAGAATTTTATGTACCTGACTTTCTTTTGGTTGGGAAATTTGGAAGAGGCATGTCTGTGTCGGAAGCTGCGTGGACAGGTGAATGTACTGACCAATCCGACCTTGTCACTGAATTGTACATAAATCAAGAGTAGCATACAACACCCTATACAAACCAAATGGGAATAATTAACACACCATGCTTTGTTCAAAATAATTATCCCAGTTCCTTTGCAATGATGCAATCATGAAAATTCAACACTCAATTAAAAATCAGTATGCAAAAATAAAATTTGGTAAGCCCCAAAATTCATACTCCGCTCTAATTTCAATTGCGTTGTGTTAAACATTAACCTTGTCCATATTAGACCAGAGATCATCAATCTGGGCCCTTCATTTGTCTATGATTGGGCCAGCTTGATACGAGAGTGTACCAAAGAAAGGTATTGTTACCATACCCATCTTGATTTCAATAAAGCTTTGAGCAATAGGTCTCAACTTTAAGATATATTCCTTCTTGTGCATAAGCTATCTAATGGGACATGGATACTCTATGAAATTGTGTCTTATATCAACTAAGTATGGCCTAGATTACCTCAAAGATTATTTTTTGCTAATAGCCCACTAATGCCTTAGCATAGTACACCTATTTCAGACCTCTAGTCTTTCACTGCCAACTTGCCAAGACCCTCTTTAGTCCTTTCTTAGTTGTACAAACTGCTCTCTGGTTGTCTTCCGCTCCAGTAAGTTTTCAAGGCCTGGACCAGAAATAGGCTATGAACACTTCTCCAATGTTAGTGAGTACTTTCAAGGGAAGTATAAAAATGCCACACCAACATACCTGGATGCTATATGAATTGGATTTGATCATTTGTAGCCTAACTGCATTTAGCAACATCCAGGTAAACTTGGTCTTAGTAATACAATGGGAATCAAATCTTAATAACTTTTGAGCAGGATCCTATGGATGTATTTGGGTTTGCTGCATCCTTCAAGATCTTATAACTCACAGGGTTTAATATGTAATGGAATTTACGATGAAAGAGAAACAAAAATATTACTATTTTAATAGAGTTAGGTTCTACAAAATTTCACTAATTTGTATATATGGTTTTTTTGACGGTAGGTGCTATGATGAAGTCCTGAGGATCTCTCTGTGTTGAAGGAAAGTGAGTGGGTTGCCTCTAGGATGGTGCTGGAGCTGTCTGTTAACCTGGTAGAGGGATAAAAAACCGCCTTGTTTTCTAATAGATGTTTCATTGTTATCAATTATGCAGTCAAGATGTGCATTGTGGTGTTCATCTTGTTTTAACTTCCAATTTGTATGATATAATTTGATAATTTTACCTAATATACATCCATTGCCTGGGTTTTAGTCGTAATGGTGCAAGTAGATAGCTCAGTGTTAACTGCGTATACAATCTGACTCCGTTCTTGTGAGTGAAATTAATGTTATTTAAGTGAAAAATTCATTTGCGCACGCTCACCAGAATGGGGTCTTGCCCAGATACTTCCTGATCATTTTTGTTGCTTAATGCATTTGGCGGCTGCTACTTTACATGAAAATTACTGTTAAGATTCTTAGAGAGAGAGAGTTGCAATCAAGTCTGCTCTGTTATGCATATATGTTTAGGGCCTGTTTGGAGGATGTTCTACCATGTTCTATTCTCTTCCCTACAGTGCAAATGGACACTGTTGAGGCCATGAACTTGTTTGGCATGGGCTGTATTGTTTTAAACAGTGGTGGAGCATTTTGGAAAAATGGCCCAAAAGTTGGAACAAAATATCCTTGTTCCAACTTGTTCCCAAAATAAGGCCAGCCCACTAATAACTGTAGCGGGTGGAACAACGGCCCAAACTTGTTCCATTCTCAGAACAAGTATAAAGAGAAGAGGTGGAACATTTCTAGGGTTTTTTGCAAGGCTCAACAACAGAGGCGATACAGAAGAGGTTGTGCTGTACTTGACACAAACGCGGCGTTGAAGCTTTCCGAGAGTCGTCTTCTTCTCACCGGTGAGTTCCTCTGCTTCATCTTCATCAGAATTCATTGCGCTCTGTATAAAATAGGTATTGTTCTTTGAAGATCGGGCTTCAAATCGCTGAGCTGTGTATGCAGATCTGAAGAGAGGAACCCTATGTCTCACCTCTGCTCTGCTTTTTCCGGCGAACCCAGTTGTCATTGTCATTGTCCATGGTGTTGATTTGGGTGTGCTTTTTGGATAAGCCCTTGCAGACCCCAGCTGGGTATTTTATGGCATTAAGCCCCAGCTTGCGAAGAGCAGCTTTACCAAGATCAACACCACATATGTCAGAGAGCCTGATCAGATACAGCAACACATCTGACAGCTCCTCACCCAAGTGTTGCTTCTCTTCTTCTTCCCAACCTGGCAGCCCTCTTGGGACCTCTCCTTTCCACCGGAAGATCTCAGACAACCCTCCCACTTCTCCAACCTAAAAACACACAAACAGACATATTTATATGTATCAAAAAAAAAAAAAAAACAAACAGACAGTGGCTTTACCAAAAAAGGGCTTTATTTTATCACTTTTTGTGTACAGAAATATACAACATACATATTAAGATTTATATACTTCGATATAGCACATTAAGGCTGGAAGCAGTGGCTTAACCAAAGAAAAACAAGTGGGTTTTCATTGTCAAGGACTAACAGTTTTAGTTTGTTGGGTCTTTAATTTTGACCTCTTTATTATGATCACAGTACTGAAGAGATCTAAAAATTCACAAATGTGAAATAACCCACGGTTTGCTGGCCAAAATTCATTAATAAATTGAAACGTGAATGTGAATCTCATTATTATATAAACTATGTAATATATTAAAATTCATGAAATGTATAATATATTGAAACTTTATTTCAGTTCTATATTGAAATAATGTATGGGACAATTGTCAAAATAATATGCAGCATTAATAGGTTTTGCAATTTATAATTTATTTTAATGATTTTTATAATAAACTAAAATAAATGGAGGAACAATATATATATATATATTAAAAGTTATATCAATTGTATATTAAAATTATACAATAATTAAATTTAACTTTATACTTGATAAAGTTAGAAAAAATGTATAGAAGAAAACATTATTTAATAACATTCTTAATCTAACATATTTAATTATTTTATTTTTCTACTGATTTTGGTTACACTTTCAGTCTTCCAAACATATTTTGTTCTCATATTTCTTAGAACAATATACATTACCAAGCATGTTCTACCATGTTTTTGTTTCAAAATTCTCAGAGCAAATTTGAAACACCAAACATATTTTGTTCTCATTTTAGAATATCACATTACAAAATACTTGTTCTGTTCTACACTAGAGCAATACACTACTTCACACTACACTTCCCAAACAGGCCCTTAGGGTAGAGAGTTGCACCAATGCCTTCTCTATTGTAGATTCTTCTTGTACTATAACAGGCATTAAGATATTCAGGTTTGGTCTTTATTATTATTATTATTATTATATAATGATTAACTCCGGGCTTCGTCCCGACTAATTCCATGGACCCGAGCCTCCCCACCAACTGGGTAATATTATAGATTGGTATTGAACTGTATCGGACATTAGGATCTTGAGAGACTCCTTTTGTCCTCCCCAGCCAAATTCCCATTTTGTTAAAGAGTACACTAATGAACTCGTGTAAACCTCTTGTCTACATATTTTCTTTAGCATCTTGCTGGAAGTTGCTATAATTCTCCTGTCCCTTCCTCTTTGTGAAACAAATAAAAAAATTACACTCATGTACCATGGAATTCTTGGCCCAAGTTTATTCCATCTCCGGTGAACAAACTAAAATAGCATATCATCATTCCGATTCCCTTCCCCTCGCATCCCATTCGCACGAATAAATTATATATTATTGGTGGTTAATATAGTAGTTCTTTTGTCTTAATTTAATTATCACTTATGGGAAGTAATCATTTTTAATGGGACATGTGAGACCTACATCATCTCATTGAAAAGTTACCAACTTGTCCTTTTAAGTTTTAAAAATTCAAGTTTGAATTTTAAACTAAAATGACATATGTGGAAAGATACGATATATTCAAAAGGAAAGTGGATACTTATCTTGGGACCGACAAAAAAAAGAAAGTATGACACTTATTTTAGGACAGACAAAATATCACATTAAAAAGTTTACCAAGGTGTCATTTATGATATCCTTAATTTCTTTGGAGGGGGAAAAAATTCATTCTTTATGTTAATTTAAGGGCCATCATCCTTGCCCACCTCCTCCTATTTTTTATTTTTATTTATTTATTATTATTTTTTTAATGGATGGAGTGGGTCATACGACTCATATCTCTTCTAAGATTTAATAGTTTAAATTTATTTTTAATTACTTTATTTTATTTTAGTAATTTTATATTTTAAATTTATTAATTCCATGTTAATTTTGACCATTTTCTTATCTTCTATGCAAACTATGCTCTCCTAATATAAACAAATCATGTTTAAAACACACGTGTTATTCCAACAATAATCACCTTATCACGCTTTTGTTCTTAATATCGTTTCAAAGTTAAGTTAGAAAGAGTTTGGATTAAAATTTTCTCCATTGCGACCTACAATATAAGTATACATGAGTATCCCTCTCAATTATTTTTCTTTCTCACTATTTAATTGACTTTTTTTTTTTTTTTTTGACTCATTCCAAAAAGGATTTGGTTGGATTTTAAGCACCCGGTCGCTTGAATTATAACCATTGAAAGTTTTTGTTAAAAGGTTCAACCCAAGCCTATGGTTTTAGGGGCTTGGCTGATCTTTGATTCTTTACGATTTTGACCATTCATAGGATTATTTCAGGTGGCATGGAATCTATGACTCATTTATTCCAAAATTAATTTTTATTTTTTTGGATGTTTCAAAACAAATCCTCGTTTTTTTTTTTTCAAGATTTAAAAAGTTAAAACCTTGAAAGAAAACCTTCAATTGGGATTATTATTATTATTATTTTGAAGGATAAGGATTATTAGTTGTTCCTACTGCACATGTTCAGATCAATCTCAGAAGATAACCTTATCCTTGGATTCCAGGTGAAAAAATTTCCACGTCGGACACATTTGAAGTGACACGTCAGCAGCAAATCATCTCCATTTTCCACCTCTCATTACCTATCTATCCCACTTCACTTCTCAACCAACACCACAAAAACTCAGACACACAAAACACAACCTTCATATAATAGAGAGAAGAATGAAAGAAAAAGGAAAAATAAATAGAAGAAAATGGCTTCAGTGACAATAATGTCCACGCCATTAAATTTTGCAACCCAGAGGAGAATTAGGGTAAACCAGCCAAGCTCTGAGGCCTTTTTCAGTCCATTGCCAGTGAAGAAGAATAATAAGGGTGTGTTTGGGCAGTCAAAGCCCAGAAAATGCAGGCTTATTCAGGTTGATGCCTCTTTGAAGGAGAAGGCTGTGACAGGCCTAACAGCAGCTGCATTGACAGCTTCCATGGTGATTCCTCAGGTGGCCGAGGCTGCTGACTCTGGTTTGTCTCCCTCTCTCAAGAACTTCTTGCTCAGTATTGCTGCCGGCGGTGTCGTGCTCGTAGTCATTCTCGGAGTTGTTGTCGGTGTCTCCAACTTTGATCCGGTCAAGCGAACTTGAGAGAGTTGTTGATATTGACAATTCTGTGAACTTTCTTGTTCTGTCTCAACAAGTTCATTTTGTTTTTTGTTTATGTATTTGATGTTATATGCTACTCTGTCATTAACCATTTATATATTATATTGATTTGAAGAATTTGAACTCCAAATTCGGTTGTGTTGGAATTTAAGTTACAGTCAGAGTCTACGTATTTAGACTAAACAATTGAAGGAAAGCCAACATTAAAACAGAGGACTCTGTTTTCAAGCTACCTACATTTGTTAGACTAATAGACTTTGATTTCAGTAATGCTGCAATTGCAAGCATCAAATCGATTACTAGCAAATTCAGAAGATTTCAGTTTAGTTAATTTAATTTAAAGTTTTAATTAAATTTCTCCCAATATCAAATTCAATACTATCAAATACTAGCAACTCACAAGAATAAAACCCAATTGGAGAAACAAAGTTTAAAGTTCAATTATGTTGACATTCTCAAGATTTTGGTGCCATGTGATTAAAGGCAATATTATTATTACACATGAATTGCCTTTTTGCATAATACAAATTGTTGATGGGTATTTTTTTTTTTTTTCCACTTTTCTGGGTAGAAGGGAAAAACTCATTGGAATAACCTAGGAAATAATAGTGTCAACAGTGAAAAAAGAAAAAGATTAAAAGCACAGGCAAGAAACAGAAACGTACCAAAACAATATATAGGGTGTGTTTGAATGGAATTGGAGCTTTAAATTTAAAATTTATGAAATTTGAGAAAAGCAATTAAGAAAATTGAACTTGAATTTTTTAAAATTTTACCAATTTCAATTCCATACTGTGAAAAATATCCTTGGAATCAGTTTGGAAGGATTTAGATGGAAAATGAGGAAGCTCCTCAGGCAATGATTTTCTAATCCCTTCAATGGAGGACGCACGAGGATGGAATGGTTAAGAATCAGTAATTGCATCTTATCTTTTAATGTTATCCTTATCACTCACAAAATAAAACAATCAGTATTTTTTTTTTCTCTCGAAAAGACACATTCACTTTGTCCCTCCAAACCCTTGGTCAGCTTTCATGTTTTTTACTCCACTATTGTTTTTTCTTAAGCGGGACTTAAAGTTAATACAATCATCCTTTTCTTTTTTACTTCATGATTCAACCAAACACCCTCGGTGGTCGGTTTCTTGGTTTTTTCACTCCACTACTTTGTTGATTAAGAAGGAATTAACCTTTTCTTTTTACTACATGACTCAACCTAGCATGATAATTAATCAACACTGTCACCTCTTTCTTATTTTCGTTTTTTTAATCTCATAAGTAAAAGAAATCAAACATTATAACGACGGATCAACACTATTCGCAATGGCCAATGTGATGCTATTTTTCACAGATATCTTTTTCCACCTACACCAGATTTGACGTGGCACGTCAAACAAATTTTATTACACGTATGAAGTTAATTTCTTTTTCTCTTTCTTCCTTTTCGTTTCCCTTACGTTCTTCATCCATTCTTCTTATCTAACCGAAATTTAGTGATCAAATTTCTCTTTTATAATGAACCCCAAGAGATTAATTCTTGTCTGAAACTAGGTTCAAACGTTTGCATGAAACGTATACACGTATCCAAAATATTCTAGAGAGAAGACCCAAATTTCATGTAAGATTATACCCTCCAAACTAAGGAATGAATATAAAAAATCTTCTTATCCTCACTCTTTTTTAAAGATCACCTACTATTGCCTTCTTGGCATTTAAAATTTTGATTCATAAATTTTTTAAGAAAAAATCTTTCCACTCCCAAATGAAAAATATGCAAAAAAGTTTTTTTCGGTAAGTAAATATTCACAAGAGTTGCCATTACAAAACACATTAATCTTTTACTGAATAAAAATATATTTAGAGAAAAAAAAAAATGATAGAGAAGAGAAACCGAGAATTAGAGAAAACGAGGAAAGAGAAACGAAGAGGTAGTAGCATTTTAAACATTTATAGTAGAAAATAATCTGACATAACCGTGCCACATTAAATTCGGCCTCTCATTTGGTTATTTGGTTGAATTCCTCTTGTCCTTTTCCTTTTCATTTTCAATCTGTCTTTAAATTCTTTGTCAAACAGGGTCATAGTTTATAATTCAACAGTAGCTTTTGACTATTAGAAATCCTAGACATTATCAGTGCCCAACTCCCCCAAGCAGATATGCCCAACATTAATTAGTTAAGTGCTCAACTCCCAACCACAAACAAACAATGTTATTCTAACCAACCGATAATTCAAACCCAAACCTACAACATTAGTCCAAGGGCTATTATCCCCTAAGGTACATTTTAAGTGACCGCCATACATCCCACTTGAAACAACTGAACCAATTTATTTATTATTTATTATTATTAGTTTTAAAATAAAGAAGAAGAAGAAAGTCAGAAAGCGAGGAATAGCTTGCCAGTTACCAATTTTGTCCTTCAACCTCTTTGGTCCCAACAAACTATATAGCTATTATTATTATTAAATTTTTTTTATCAAATGCCACTACAATGTTCCCTAGTCTATGACAACTTGACAATTATGTCATTTGATTTGGATGTTGGGCATTACAAAATAACCTTGATTTTCTCCTTGACTCTTTAATACTGAATCCCATCCCCAAAAGGCCATGCTTCCTAGGATTTGTTGTTGTCTGTGCTGCTTTTGCCCTGGCATGGACATGGTCTTGTAGTCTAGGGTTTGGCGGTTGCGTTTGCTTTACCCAAAAAACAAAAATGATTATATGTTCCTCATAAGAGCATGATATAAGAATAATCATCAAAATAAAACTACATTTCAAGCCCAAACAAAGTCTGATAGTGGTACTTGGTAATTGAAATGGCCTCCGGAAGCCAATTTGCAGAATCCTTGGCCTTAACCTGCCACTTCTAATATTCATCAAAATAAAACTACATTTCAAGCCCAAACAAAGTCTGATAGTGGTACTTGGTAATTGAAATGGCCTCGGAAGCCAATTTGCAGAATCCTTGGCCTTAACATGCCACTTCTAATATCTTCAATATTGAAAAAACCACGTCCACATAACGTAAGAATTCTAACAAGTAGTCATCAACATGTGTGGTACAAGAAAGCAACATTTATGCAAATCTCTGTCAACTCCCATCTTTCTTGGGGGGTGAGACACAGACTTCCATTCTCAGATTAAATTATTTCCTTCACATTCATTCTAAACTTTGTAATTGGACAAGTTTAGTGGCACTAATAGTGGATCATTTCCGTCTCGGATGCCAAGCATGGTTTCTCATTCAGAGTGGCCATTCTACATTTTATCATGTACACTCACATTCACAATGGGCATGCCAAAGCCTTATTCCAAAAAAAAAAAAAAAGATTGGTATTCTCATACTTCAAGTGACAGATCCCTCCCTCAAAAACACACACACACTACATATGCCACCAAACACAATCCACTTGGGCATGCCAAAGCCTTATTGGAGAAGCATATAAAATGTGTCATTATTCTTTATTTTCATGTACGTTTTCATAAGCTGAAGCACAACATACCAATCCACAAGCTACTCAACTCGGGTTGAACGTGACAGGCACAAACCAATAACAATTTCCAGGTTAGGTTGTGCTCGGCTGCATCGAATTGGAATTGGAGAAAATTTTGGTTCAATTTTTTGACTTGTTTTTTTCCAATTCTAAAACTTCAATTCCATGCAACCGAACACGGCCTTATAGTTCTCTTTTTTCAAATAAGTGTAGAACCAACAGACTAACCAAGTCAGGGAGTTCAGAAACCAATTTAATTTTATCAGTACTTGCTGTGTAGCACATCTGTTCAACCCATCTAAAAGATTGGTCTCTTCGATGCCAGGAATTCAATAATGCTAATTATGCTATATAATCATTCAATGTCCCTAAACAATTGTCAACTATCAACAACGTAAGTCATCGAACCCAAACGAAACAAAAATAAAGGCATAATATTAAAATAAGTAAACATAGTCATGCATCCATCGAAAAAGATTGTTTAAATGAACATAAATTAACATCCGCAACTCCAGGGAAAAAATTAAAAAGAGATATCTAGTATTATTCTGATCTGGATGAAAGAACAAAAAAACAAAAGCAAAATTACTGAAATGGCAAAAACAGTACGTACTGCATGTGATGATAGTTCAATCACCACCCAACTCAGGCTAACGCAACCGGTACCTCAATAACAGGTGCCGCCACCATTTGAGGAATAGGCTCTTCATCCTTGGGAGGGTGAATAGTTACCAGATCAGGCAACGGTGTTGCAGGCCCCTGCTTGCCTTTGGGATCCCAGTCGAGCATGATTTTGACCTTGATACCAAGCACACCCTGTAACAATAGAGAACACCATCATATGATGATTAATTGAAATCCAAGAGTTAAAGATTCAAAAATATGAAATCCAACAATATATAAGTGAACCAAATGTTAAAATTCCAGGACAAGCAAAATATGAAAAAAAAAAAAAAAAGCTGACCTGTCTGAGGAGGACGTGTCTCACAGCTGAGTCAATATATTCATTGACAGGTTGACCAGAAGATATCATGTACCCATCCTTAAATTTCATGGACTTGGCACGCTGAGCACGGAGCTTTCCGCTCACAATGACCTAAATAAATAAAAAGACCAATATTAGGTTGCCCAGATTGAAGAGTGAAGATACAGAAGGAAGAGGAAGAATTTTTAAACAAACCTCGCATCCCTTAGCCCCACTCTCCATGATAAATCTCAGAACACCGTAACAAGCCCTAAAATATGATAAAAACATAAGTCCTTAAAACCTAATATATAGGTAAAAAGAAAGATATGCATATATAACTAGTTTATTCTAACATGAAATACCAATCAATAGATGAAAAATGCACGGAGACATAAACAGTAATCCTAAAAAATGCATAGGCAGACTGAATGTGGATTCTGCCTTATATTTGGTATATGAAATGAGTATCTGATAAATGACAGAATTTGTGCAGAAGGAAAGCTAATGTCGGGAGGCATTATGGGCCGACTACAAGAAACAAAGCTTCATAGACTCGACAAGTCACTTATAGAATGCTGACTACTAAGTGTTTACACCAAATGACAAAGAAATCAGAACAGAACTACATTAATATAATGCTCCATCAAAAAGGGAAAACAATAAACAGAATACAACCAGCTAAACTAAGTTGCTCTAACATAAATGATCGGTACTGAAATTGAAATTTCCCATCTAAAATACATCACAAGGAAGCAGAAAGTCTTTCCTTGAACAATGAGATCGATGGGATAGCCAACTATAGTCATCCTCAGACACGAGATTGGCATGAGCAAGTAACCAATTCGCTGTATAGATGACTGGAATGGGTAAATTTCGCAATGCCAATGAAAACATAGGTTGAAGATAGAGTAGAGATTAGCTATTGAGTTAAAAAAAAATGTATGTATGAGTCAAAACATTGTAAAACACATAAGTAACACATCAAAGAGGAGAAGCAATGAACACTTAAGTGAATTGCCATAACAAGGAAAAATAAATTGATCTAACATAGATGATCAGTATTGGAAGTACAGATATTTTCTATGTCAAAATTCATCAAAACAAAAAATAACTAATGTTCCTTGGGCTACAAGACAGATGGGATGGCAAAATACAGTCATCATGTGCAAACCTACTCAATGTACACATGACTAGAACATGTAAAAAATTTGATGCCAAGGTAACCACAGGATGATGGTAGAACCTTATGGTAGTTATGGAGCACAAGGTAATTTGAAAAGGAGAGTAACTATGAACATAATGCCCTTGCAGGAAAAAATATATAGATTTTTATGAATCAAGATGGACACAAGACACACACCACGCAGACCAACCTCCTAAAATGAAAATGCAAAATAAAATTTACAGCCTTGAGTTTATTTACATATTATTCAAACGTCTTACACACCAATGAATCTGCATAAAAGATTTTTTAAGATAAAATGTAAAATTACTACTAGAGAACAAGGCATGGTTAGTAGAGATGAGTCGTAATAGTAACTCAGAGGAGGTTTATTTAATTACATACCTACGAACAGCAAGGCCTCCAAGAAGCTTGTAACGGAGTGACTCCGCCTGAGCAATGGCACAGAGACCTCTGTTATTAACTTTCTCGGCATAAAGCTCCACACTGTTCTCTGGAAACTTAAAGCGCTTTTGAACAACTGAAGTCAGCTCCCTAATCCTCCTACCCTTCTCACCTGATAATTGAAAAGGAAATGAATAAACAAACCCTTATACACAAATATTAAAACTGGATGATCCTCCCAATATTTAAGAAACCGATTACAAACAAGGTAAAGGAGAACTGAGCTATCAATTGCCATAGCCAAGAATGCCCGGACACTCAGCAAGGACTTTAATTATTGCTCTATCTCTCTCCCTCCCTCTCTCTCTCTCTCCATGAAATAATTAAATCCATATATTAATTGATTGGAATACAAGGTTTTTTCCTTCAATAAATTATGTTTTTGTGTTTAGTAAATCAAAAGTTATGATGGCGTCCCTGGATGATGATGGGCGGTAACATATGACTTGTTTAAAATGCGTTACACAGAGATAATCCTCCTCATTATGCGATTAGGACAGGGTTAGTGTATTCTCCAACAAGGCAGAGTCAGGATCAGGTGGCTAAACTTGCACCTGCCCTGATTGCCATTCCTAGCTGAAAATACAGAATTTAAGCCATTTATTCTAAGATAATTATTTTAACAAGACTTGAAGGATAGTAAAATTTTTAAATGCCCTCATATTCTAAACAAAAAAAGAAATATAAAATAAGTATCTCTGTTCATGTATCATTTGGTGCATTTTACTATTTGTCAAATTGAGTTGAGAATAATGCTCTACTTAGCAATGGAGGCAATTGCCATGTATAATTTAGTGTACAATTAGAGATCAGCCTCTGTTATATTGTTTTCCATCATTTAAATAGCAAGAAATCCAAGATGAAGAATTGCAATTCCTTTTTTCCTCAGCAACAAACCGATGCAGAAAAATATAAATGCCTCTAGCTTATTTTTCTCTCAATTTTCAAGGATAAATAGAGCCTAAGTCCAAAAAATATAAAAATTAATGAATAAATATATATACCAAGAACGTTCTGGGTACGAGTGGCTCTGATGATGATCTCAGTGCGCATCGGAGTAACCCTAACCTCGACGCCAGAGTATCCATCCTCGGCCAGCTCTCTGGTCAGAACTTCGTTGAGCTCCGCAAAAAAGACTCCATCAGCAACAAACTGTTGAGAACAGAGGACCAAAGAGAACAAATCAGTGCAGGAGATTTACGAAAACATAATACTTTGTTTGGTTGCCGAGAAATAGTAGAGAGTGAACAGAAATTATAAGATGAAAAATAGATTTTTTTTCGTATATTTTCTGAGAAGCCAAACGGAGGGAAATAGAAGGAGTGACCTTTCGCTTTTTGCTCATCTGAGTCGCCATGTTTGCGGTTGTGGATAGGTGATTGCGAATCGCTCGCTCAACGCTTCGGCTCTCCAGTCTCGTCCGCAAAATGCAGAATGAAACCCTAATGTTTTAGATAAATGAAATTATGACATGAAAACGACGTCGTTCTTTGGAAAATGAAAGAATTATTCAGAACAAAAAGATTACGGACGCCGTTGCCGGGGATCGAACCCGGGTCACCCGCGTGACAGGCGGGAATACTTACCACTATACTACAACGACTTGTTGATGAAGGTTGTATTGTTTTATTTAATTAAATAAAAATAAAGAGTACTCACACACTATTTTTCAGGTTATGTTTGGTATGAAAAACGATTTAAACAAAATCAAAAGTATACTAGTATAATTTTAGTTCTACTATTAAAATCAAATTTTAAATAAAGACATTCATATAAATTAGTATAATACTATGGTTTTTCATGATTCCAAAAATAGAAGGAAATGGAAGAAAATGCTAATTTTTAATGAAACTTTGTTAGTACCAAAATTACCCTTATTTTAATAAAAACAAAATCTATGAAAAATGAACACGATATTAAATTTATTAAAATAATTTTCTTTTCTTTCTTTTTCTTTATTAATCAACCTTTATTTTCCTTTATTAATCAACAAGTGATTCACAATATCTTTTTTTTTTTCCTAACAAAGGGCCTCTTTGATCACTTCTTCTCCTAACTAATTTATACCTGCTTTTCTTTTTTTACTGTACAACAAGCCAACAACACAATCGATCCAACTAAATAATAAGAGTATTATCACTTTTGAAAGTTGTGAAAAAATGGATTTAAAAAAGAAAAAAAATTATACAGTTTTTATTATTATTATTATTATTTTATTTTTTATTTTAAATTATAGCCCATAGATGTTTAAATCTCCATTTGGCCTTTGCCTTTGGACTATATGATAGCATTCCTCTGGTGGAAAAGGCCATTTGCCTTATCTCCTTTAACAAAACTAAACCAATAATCAAAATGGGGGACATACACATACCAACAGAAAACGGTCACTGAGTAGCAAATGGCTGTGACTTCCACTACAGCATCTGCCTACATTTCCCGACGAATTTTTTCACCACCACCGTCGTCGCCGCTAAAAGCTTCCTCATTCTCAGATTCCATTACTTTCGCAACAAACCCACGCAGCAGCAGACTCTGTATTAGAAGCTCAAGCAGTGATGCATCGGCCGATGGTACTGCCACGGAGATGGAAACAGAGCCGGAAAGTCCGGTTGAAGTTTCACAAGGGCCACCGTCCCTAATCTCTGCTCTTAATGTTGAAAAAGCTCTTCGCGGCATTGGTAATGTTTAAAGATGACTTTGTTGAATCGCATTGGGTTTGGATCCGATGTTAGAGCATTTAAGTGATGGTGTTTTTGTTTAGAATGCAGCAATTACAGATGCAGATCACTACGGCAGACTTGGAATTCAAAAAGGATGCTCATATGATCAGGTCATAAGAATCAAAAGTTGTGTTTTACCTTTTTGGGTTATGCTTAATTACTCCAATTTCTGCAATATATCATACATATACACACATATATGTGTGCTTCATTTGGGTTGGTATTTTTGTTAATGATGATCAGGTTACAGTTGCTTATAAGAAGAAGGTAGATGAATTGACGAATCAGGGATTAGAGGAAGAGGAACTCAGCAAGAAGCTTGAGCTTTTGAAGGTTAGTTGCAATTTGCATTCCTCATTACTAAATGCCAATTGACCCCATTACAAAATGTCACATATGTAGTTTGGTTCGTTTATCTTATTAGTACTTGATGATGCTTAGCTACTCATTTTTGAGTAGTTTCACCTACTCATTCCCTACGTGTTCCAATAATAAAATAACAAGTCAGTTTCAATATAATAAAAAAGCTTTGTACGTTTATTCAATGGTTAATTCGAGAAAACAGAGAATCGCGTGGGTTATTTTGTTATTAAAGCGGATGTGTTATTTTGTTATTGAAACACATAAGGGGTGAGTAGGATGAAGCTACTCACCGGTAACTAGCTAAATATTTAATAATAAAATAATTCACACATTTCTCTATTTTTTCAGATCAATCATTAAATAAACGTATATTGTGTTTTTAAGTATGAATTATTTTATTATAAAATATGATGTTTTATTTTATTATTGAATCAAATAAGGATGAGTAGCTTCACCCTACTCACCAATGAGTAGTTAAGCATCATTCATTATAACTATGACGAGGTGAGTAACTAAGCATCATTCATTATAACTATGTCTCGTCATTCCTTGTGTAACTATCCATTATATTATTCTAACATACACAACTAAATTTAAACAAAAGTGAAAACACAACATGTTCATTAACTTTAGACAATGGCTTGGAGATGAACCAGCTTGGAGAGGATGAAAAAACACAATAATAATAATAATACAAAAATAAATAAAATGTTTTACAAGCTTTAGTGATAGAAGATGGAAGAGACATATTTTTTTTTTTTTTTTTTTTTTTTTTTAAAGTTAAAGATGATTGTTGTCTTGTTTCCAAAGTTTGAACAGTTGTGTTGTGTTATGTTTGGTGATCCCCAGGAATCACACTCAATATTGTCCTCAGTAGAAGAAAGAAGACTGTATGATTGGAGCGTGGCTAGGAGTGGGAAGCCAGACCGCTACTTATGGCCTTTCGAGGTAGACATTACACAAACCCCCCCAACTGGCGATATTCCTCCCCAACAGGTAAATGGTATATATATATATGCATATAAATTATACTCGTATAATAATGCACTTTCTCATTCTCCTTTTCTAACTCGTCTGCTATTGACACCATTTCTCGATCAAAAAGTTTCAAATCACTTGCAAAGTAAAAAAAATGGAAACAACAAGAAACCAATGTTGGCTTCTTCTTTACCAAAGTGGTAATTGATAGTAACAGAAGGAAATTAACTGAATGGGAATGGCAGGAACCGGAGGACGTTGGGCCCACAAGATTGGTGGGATACTTCATACTGGCCTGGTTGATACTAGGCTTCACATTATCAATTGCCCTCAATCGATGATACCACATTGAATCTTTTGTACCTTAAAACCTTTTGTTCACAAAGTGTTGCCATCACATTCACATGTGAAATTGTGTTCATTACTTTTGTTGAAGTTGAAATCAACATTTTGCTCCCATTATTTCCTACAAGTAGGGTTGAATTTAATAGAATAAAATAGAGACACTATATATGGCCTCCATTAACCGCGTACACAAATATATATATGTGGGGCGCGCATATATACAAAGAGAAAATTATGAAATCTGCCATGCATGATCAATTAATTATAATGGAAATAGAGGGATGCTAGCGACCGCCGCTTGCAGTGGCCTGAGGTGTCAGCAGCCAATACTTTTTACTACTTTTTATTTTTTGTTTGTTGTGCCTCACGCATTTTAATTTATTTTTTTAATTACTTTTTCTGTTTTTTTGTCGGTGGTTCTACTATCTCCCCTACTCTCTCTCTCTCTCTACGTCTAACTCGCTGGAGGCGAAGAAGACGAGTGATTCAGCTTCTGTTGGGGGAAGCCGCCGTTACAAAGAGGAGAGGAACGGAGGCCGGACCAGTGCTGGGTTGTTGAATGGCCGGACCGTTACGAAGAGGAGATGATAGGATCGAGGAAGCCGCCTCCAATCTTCAAGGATGATTCGCTTCAGATGGACGTCGGAGACTTCTCTCGCTTGGCCGAGTCCAACCGCTCCCGCAATCTGATGATTCGCTTCAGATGGTGTCTGTATATATATATTTTTTTTTCCGGTTCAGATGGTGTCTGTAATTTGGGGAAAGAGAGGGGCAAGAGAGATGACGTGGAGGGGGGTTCAAGGTTTGATTTAATGAGGAAGGTTGCTGTTGGTGAGGTGATGAATTTGGGTGGTAGCACGGCTGGGCATAGATGTGTGGAGAGAGAGAGAGTGTTTTTGGGTCTGCAAATAGGAAGAGGGGAAGATGAACCCATATTTCTCTCTCTAACATAACCTTTCTCTCCACGAACCCATTTTCATTCCTCTCCCGCACCTTCATCACCACCCCCTTGCAGCAACCACCCCCACCATTTCTTACAAATCTTAAGTTTTAGGGAGAGAAAATATGGTAATTAAACTTTAGAGAGAGAAAACATTGTGGTTTTGGAGAGAGAATCAGTGGGTTCGTTGGTACTGGGTGTGTGGGTGATGATGTAGGAGGTGAAGAAATAGGAGACAGAAAAATAGATAACCTATCTGAAGATGTGATTTTTAATTTGTCCTCCATGTTTGCTCTGTACAAGTCTCATCCTCACATAGAATCTGCTATTTTTTCTGTACAAGTTCTTCACCTCGGGCGAGTTAGACGTAGAGAGAGAGAGAGAGAGGAGAATCGACAAAGAAACAGAAAAAGTAATAAAAAAATAAATTAAAATGCGTGAGGCACAACAAACAAAAAATAAAAAGTAATAAAAGTCAGCAGCCTATGCCTCCAATATGCTGCTGACTCTTCACGCGACTGCAAGGGACGTTCGCTAGCAGGGTGACGATCGCTAGCATCCCACATGAAAATATTCCTAAGTTGTCAACTAATTCCACATCAAATTGTACACATACATCTGCATATCAGAGGAATTTGTTTTTAATGGAGGATTTTTCTTTCTTAAATAGCTCCGGTCTTGAGATTATAAACTGATATAAAAAACTGAGGGTCTATTTGATTCTCTCAAAAACAAAGTTTCTCTTTTCAAATAATTGAAAATCAGAATATTATACAAAATTGTGTTTGGTTATTTTTTTGAAAACGATTTTTTAAAATATCAGTTATATTTCATTAGATTGTATAAAAAATAATAATAATCTTGAGAATTATTTTCAAAATTACAAACCAAATAGACCCTAAACAATTCCATAATTCTTATAATAAAAAAATATGTCCCTCTTAAGTTTGCCCATGGTGTGTGAACACATGCAAAACAGCAAATCCCATAATTTGTTGTATTAATATTGATCTTCTTGTGTTTTATTTTTATTATTTCTCTGTTTTTCTGTACAAACATATATACTTATTGTTGAGGGTGACATCTGCACGGTCCGATATGACACCGTTTACCTACAAGGAAAAGAGGAAAAAATTGATGAACTTTGACAGCACCGGTGTTGTGCTTACCAAGAACTCTCCGACGATCAAGTTAGTCATCAGAGGTCTAAAAAGGAAGGCAGGGATTTAATTATAATTTTTTCGTCGTACCTTATTTCTGAATCGTCGTCCTATTTATCGTCGTTTCCTTTATTCTTGATAAGGGAACTTCATCAACCTTATCCCATGGAAATCTTATTCTTGATAAGATTTGTCATCATTTTTATCCATGGATATACAAATCTTATCCTTGTCATCATTTTTATCCATGGAAATCGTTACCTCCAATAATAAAAGAGGTCTGGCGGCTGGTCAAAGTAGGTTAGGCTTATTTTTCCCTATGAGTTGCCTCCCATTCCCAAGCTTGCTCGTCTAGCTTTGGGAATGTAATAATAATAATAATATATATATATTTTTAACCCTGGAACAGTACCTGCGGGTACTATTCCTGAGGGTGCTATTCACGTGAATAGTACTGGAATTTTTTTTTTTTGCCCTAGAATAGTACCCGCGTGTAGTATTCACTTGAACAGTACATTTTTTTTTTTTTTTTTTTTTTTCCTATTGCCCTGGAACAGTACCCGCGGGTACTATTCCCATGAACAGTACAATTTTTTTTTTTTTTTGCCTCCGGCACTATTCCCGGGAACAATGCTGCGAGTACCCTTCCCTTGGGTATTCTGCCCATGGGTACTATTTTTGGTACTCTTGGGTAGTCTGCTACTGGGTACTATTTTTGGTAGCTCTGGGTACTATTTTTGGTACCCCTGGGTACTCTGCCCTGGGGTACTATTTTTAATACCCCTGAATAATCTTCTCCTAAATTGTACGAGTTTCACTCTGGTCATCACTACTTTAATAAGGGAATTAAACTTTACGAGTTTTACTCGTCCCTTTAATAAGGGATTTTTATTTATTATCGCTTATAGTACGGGGATATAGATTACGGGATTTATTCAGCCTAGTCCTGGTAATACAGGACACTCATTTACTATCCCTTATAGTACGGAGATATGGATTACGGGATTCATTCAGCCCGAATCCTTTTAATACAGGACTTTATTTACTATCCCTTATAGTATGGGGTATTGATTACGGGATTCATTCAGCCCGGGTCCTGGTAATACATGACACTCATTTACTATCCCTTATAGTACAGGGATATGGATTACGGGACTCATTCAGCCCGGATCCTTTTAATACAGGACTTTAGGTACTATCCATTGTAATACGGGAAGTAGTCATCTCGTCCCTTTAGTAAATGAAGAAAGCTTTAATTATCTCACCCTTATGTATATAAGGAGTAGTCGGCTTCTTGTCCCTTTAATAAGGGAAGAATGTATAGTTGGCCCTTTAAGGACATAAATAGATTATTATGGGCTTAATATTACCATATAAGTAGTAGGGAACTGAAAATATAATATTTTATTGCGTAGAAATTGAGGGTCATCCACCTAATTGATGATGGTGACTTTATTGGAAAATAAAATAACATGTGAAATGATGAACTGAGATGGCCCCAGTCTTTATTTTGAATGACTTGATGATAAGGCTAATTCTAGCTATGAGGCAATTGTTAATCGGTATACTTATCTGAGTCTTCCTCACTATATGTCCTATCGCTTTGGTTGGAGAATGATCCTTTATAACTGGTATCCTTCTCATCCCTGGTGAGAGGGGTTGACCTCTTCTTGTCTTATCCTTCCTTTCTCTTCCGTGCATTCATAGCGTCTTCAGCGTTCACGTGTTTCTGTGCTCTGACCAACAATTCTGCCATGCTGGTGAGAGGTTCTTTGGATAGGGCAAACAAGAATCTGGAGGTTTGGAGTCCTCTTATGAAAGCGGTCAAGGCCACCTTGTCGTCCACCTCTTCTGCCTGCAACATATCTGTGTTGAATCGGGTGATGTATTCCTAGATCGACTCGCCCTCCTGTTGCTTCATGGTAAGCAGGTAGGTGGCTAGCCTCCTATGCCTCTGACCTGCAATGAAGTGGCTCACAAATTGCTTACTCAGTTCTTCGAAGGTGTTGATGGTTCCTAGCTTCAGCTTGTTGAATCAAACTCTTGCTGATCCCTTAAGTGTAGTGGGAAAAGCTCGGCACATAATTTCATCTGGTACGGCGTATAAATGCATAAGAGCTTGAAAGATTTCCAGGTGATCGAGGGGATCTTTGGTCCCATTGAAGCTTTCGAATGAGGGCATCTTGAACTTGCTAGGCAGTGGACATTTCATAACGGCAGGGCTGAACGGCAAGTGGGTCCTTTATACCAGGTCATTTACGGCTGCAGGACCTTTCCCTTTCATAGCCTGCATTACACCCTCCATTTTCCCCTTGAGATCCTTGACCTGCAGGTCGAAATAGGTAACTTTCTTTGTCTTTTCTTTAAGACAGAAAGCTGTGCTTTCCTGAGGTCGGGAATTCCGTGGGAGAAATGGGTGTACCACCTCTCTATGTCGGTTTCCCACCTGACTTTGTTCCACTTCGGTCTCATTTTGGAAGGGATGATTATCCTGCTTTACAAGATTCCCATTCCCTCCGTTTGGATTGGATTTTAGAGATCTTGTCGTGGCAAGTTTTGTTGAACCAATGGAATAAGATGTTGTAGGAGCGTTGCATTTTGCTGGATCAACTGGTCCATTCTCTGACTCAGAGTTTGGACCTGCAGTTCCAACGCTGCAAGCCGTGTCTGATTGTTTGGGACGTCTAGGTTTTCACCCGACTCTACCCTTTGACCAGATCCCTGCGACGGTGTTCCTTTGGTAACCATACCGGACCGCAAACATATATACCCAACCGAGTAATTAATTGATTCAAGGGAATCGTCGTTCCCACAGACGGCGCCAACTGCTGAGGGTGAAATCGGCACGGTCTGATACGACACCGTTTACTTGCAAGGGAAAGAGGAGAAAATCGTTGAACCTTGACAGCACCAGTGTGGTGCCTGTCAAGAGCTCTCCGATAATTAAGTTAGTCACCAGAGGTCTAAAAAGGAAGGCAGGGATTTAATCATAGTTTTTTCGTCGTACCTTATTCCCGAGTCGTCGTCCTATTTATCGTCATTTCCTTTATTCTTGATAAGGGAACTTCATCAACCTTATCCCATGGAACTTATCCCATGCAAATCTTATCCATAAGATTTGTTATCATTTTTATCCATAGAAATACAAATCTTATCACTGATAAGATTTGTCATCATTTTTATCCATGGAAATCGTTACCTCCAATAATCAAATATTATCATTGATCACCGAAGAGGTCTGGCGGCTGGTCAAAGTGGGTTAGGTTTATTTTTCCCTATCACTTATAAATACATACATACATACATATCTATATTATATATATATATTGTACATTTGCATAAGATTGGAGGTTCAAATGCAATTTAATTAAACATAAACATGGATTAATGGGATGAGGAGTGGTTAATTCCCAACACCAAAAACATAAACTTGAGTAACCTGCATGATTAGGAGTGGTGAAGGCAGCAACTCCTGGGCAGAATTTCAATTCTCCAGCCAGCTGCATTCTTAATTAACAATGCTCAAAACCAAAACCACCACATGTCCATTTCTGTTACCCTATATGATCCCTCATCCAATCTGTATCTTCATTATATTTTTAGAAATCATAAAATTATATAGCATATTTT